AACTCTTTCGTTATAATTCTATTTCACAAACGGTTTGCGCCTACGCGTTCGTAAGATCGAGATCTATTTAAAAATATAAATTTTGACCTCGAAAGGTCTACGTATTTTAAATAATTAATGTCCAAACTTTAAACCTCGTAACTAGTTTAATTTAAAAAACTAAAATTTTATGAATTAATATAAATTCTCAATTCTTTTCACATATTCATAATTATGAATACCCAATTCATATATTTAAATTTTTCAGGGTATTACATACCCCCTCAAGTATGGGGTCAATTACAACCTCATACAACATCTTTAAACATTTCAATTTCATACATTTAGTTATATTTTCTTTTTAGTTTCATACATCTTTAAAAAATTTGTTAGGTTAATTGTTCAGTGATGACGTGGCAAATGTAGAGTCCACATTTGTGCTGACATAGCTGTCAACTTTGCACCATGTGAATAAAAAATGTTGATGCACAAAACCGGAGGTCTTGGAACAACGTAAATCCGACCATGAATCTGCAATAAATGTAAATAACATAAGATGTATTGTGGTTCACCCCAAGGTTTGGGCTACGTCCACACTGATTATGTATTTATCTGAGAAGTGAAGGAGATAGATTCAGAGCCTCTGAGGGAGAGAGTGAGGTCTCTGATGGCCTAAGAATTGGCCTCTGAAATGGCTTCCCCTAATTGTGAGGGTGAGGGGTCCTTTTATAGAATAAGGACTCCTCACTTATTACATATTTGCCCATTCCTTTATTACATAATTATATTTAAGTCCTCCGAGTATTTATATGAGGTCTAAATACGAGGCCCTAAATATGGTATAAACAGTAGTCCCCCAAGTCTTCAGTCAAGAGAGTCTTTTGGCTGGAGACTTGAAATTCAGTCCTTGTGTGGGCCGAAGTAACTAGATGTTGTCTTGAACTGATGCTCGATATGAGGCGGTGCTTAATCTGAAATGATGCTCAACTAGAAGTAGCACACGCTGCGAGGTGCAAGGCTCGTGGCTTAAGTTGCCTTGGTTGGCTAGGCTTGTGGCATTTGACGGTGATGGAGTCCTTTTTATAGAATAAGGGCTCGCTCCTCAATACATAAATGATGGGCTAGAGTTGATGCTCTCTAATGATGGTAAGGGAGTCCCTTTTATAAAATAAGGGCTCGCTCCTCAGTACATGAATAATGGGTTAAGAGTGATGCTTGTGGCGATGCGGTTGCTCAGCTGGCGACGTTGCTCTCTAATGAAGGTAAGGGAGTCCCTTTTATAGAATAAGGGTTTGTTCCTCAATACATAAGTGATGGGCTAGAGTTGGTGTTCTCTAATAATGGTGAGGGAGTCCCTTTTATAAAATAAGGGCTCGTTCCTTAGTACATGAATAATGGGTTAGGAGTGATGCTCGTTGATAGGAGCATATTTATGCGACTTAGTTGGCTTGTTCTTGTGCATTTATGTCGTGTCTCTTTAGTTATTTTAGTGTTTAAAGTCATTTTCGTGTGTTTTCAGATTTTAAGGACAAAGTAGGCAATAAGATGCATTTTGGAGCATTTTGGAGCAAAATGGAGCTTGGAATGCATGTCACATATTTGGAACCAAGGTTTGGACAAAATTGAAGAATTAAAGAGGCTAAGAATGTGAAGAATTAATGTACAAAGGATCAAGAATTCAGCCACAAGAACACCCACTCCTTGCCGTGTAACCAAATAGCATTCCCTTTGGATTCCCATGCATGCTTAATCATCCTTGTCCCCTAAAATATTTCTGATTTCATGCCTCAATTCACTCAATTATCACACTCAATTGCTGCATACCTCTTGTTCCCTTCACCCATCAGATTTCACACAACTTTCACAACCATTCCATGCACCAATTGATGCTCCATCATCCACAATTGGGATCCAATGCTGTGTGCAACACATGTTGCTGCACCTTTGACTAATTTCTGAAACATTTCACCTCCCCTTTTCATTTCCATGCAATGAACACAATCATTCATGCTCCCTAGCTGAAATACCACTCCATTTTACCCTCCATACTTTGCATCATTGCTCCATTTTCATCCTTGGACCATTGCACACCACATATTCACCCTCCTTGCTGTGCATTTTCCCCACTGCCCAATCTAATTCTCTAGGGTTTTTGGGGCCTATATATACATGTTACACCCCTTGGCAAAGGGTTCACACTCTCATATTCACCATTCATCACAGAAATTCGTCCATACTCACCCTAGGCAGCAAAACACCCCAAAAACACCATTCTAGTGCCCAGAAAATATCACAGCCACTCCACCTTCTTCCACCCTCTTTGCCGAAGTTCTCCACCACCCTTCCACCATCAAACACTCCTCTACACTCACCATAAACCTTTCTGCACCATAGAACTACCCAAAACCTGTCCACAAACCAATCTGCCACAAGCAAGGGAAATGAGGAATCTTGGATGCACTTGCTGCCAAGTTGGAGCATTCTAGGTGTTTTCTTTCTTTGGATTTTAATGTCTAATTCATGTAATCTTTGTTTTGCTTTAAGTATGATTGGCTAATTTCGTTTTGGCTAAGGGTGGATTCAAAACCATGATTATATATGTGAAATAAGTTGATTACTTTCAGTTATCGTTGTATAAGTCGTGAATACAATTTGCTTAACCGTTTGATTTAGAACTTATTCTTGTATGTTGGTTGAGAGTGCACGCTTAATTTGCATGCTTGAATTTGATGCTAGGATATAAGTTTGTTTCACCTAATCGTTATGAATTTATATTCGTAAGTAGTGAAGGTCGCTAGTCACGATCGTGTTAAGTAGATTCCTGGCAAGAGTATCATGCTTTTCATAGTTACGAATGCCTTGTCGATGCTTATGACTTCCAAAGAACGTAATGATTCTAACTTGTGTCTTTATCATGCTGTTCATATAAAGAACTTGTTGGGAATAATTTGTTTGCGATGCATATTCATCCAGTTCAATGATTCTAGGGAAATCTGAAGGTTAATTTAAGCGGACCTAATTAACTTGGAGTGTCGAGATTCATAACTTATTAAATTGATAACTGAAAATTGATTTAGGTTGCATATATTTCATGTGTGGAGAAGACCCCTTAGCCATTCCATCATCCATTGATTATTCATAACTTTGTGTTACAATCTGTTTCTATTACAATCTGTTTTCCTTGCAATCTGTCCATTTAGTTCATTCGTCCAAATCAATTCCCCATTTATTTTGAAGTCCTAGATTAGTTAGAAAGTGTGTTGGTTTATGTTTTTAAGTGTTTTGGTACAAGTTAAAACCCAAATTCGTCCAAATTGGTGCTTTGTGTTCAAAACTGCCCAGAAAGTGTTTTTAAGGCAGTTTTGAGTTTTTTAGTTGCTGTTTTGAGTTATTGGTTTATTTTAGTATTTTAAACGTGAGTTTTGCATTCTTTGAGTCTAATCTAGTGTTTGAAACTTTGTTTTTACATTTCTAAGTCAGTTTTCAAGTGTTTAGCAATCTCTCATAATCCCCGGTTTAGAACGATCCCTACTTACATACTTTGCTACAATTGATAAAAAGAGGGTTTAATTTTGTGTGTTAACTTATTTTTCACATCACTCGTGGGCGGTTGCTCAGCTGACGGCGATGCTCTATAACGAAGGTGAGGGAGTCCCTTTTATAAAATAAGGGCTCGCTCCTCAATACATGAATGATGGGCTAGAATCCCCCAAGTATTTTTCATGAGACCCAGTTAAGGCCCAGTATATAGTACATAATGTAGTCCCCTAAGTCTTCGGTCAATAGAGTCTGTTGGCTGGAGATTTCAAATTGAATCTATGTATAGGCCGAAGTGGCATTTGTTCGAAGGCGGTATTTATATACCCTGCACTGAAGCTTTGTAAGTGAAGCTTTGAAGCTGGAGCTCTGTAAATGAAGCTTTTGAAGCTAGAGCTTTTGTAAATGAAGCTTTTGAAGCTGATTGACATGATTGATGCTCATGAATGTTTGATTGACATGAGTGATGCTCATGGATGTTTAACATGAGTGATGCTCATGAATGTTTATGTATGATTGATATGAGTAATGCTCATGTATAATATGAAGTACTGGGCGTACTTTTGATCACCTGGTTGGTGGCATGAAGGAGAGTACGGGTTGTACATTTCATCACCTGGTTGGTGGCATGAATGGCTAGTTGCCAAATGATATTAGAGTACAGGTTGTACATTTCATCACTTGGTTGGTGGTAATAGCGGCAGGTTTCCGAATAATTTTTGGAGTACTGGGCATACTTTTGATCACCTGGTTGGTGGTAATAGCGGCGGGTTACCGAATAATTGTGGAGTACTGGGCGTACTTTTGATCACCTGTTTGGTGGTAATAGCGGTGGGTTGCCGACTAACTATGGAGTACTGGGCGTACTTTTGATGACCTGGTTAGTGCTATTTCGGGCTTATGGGCATTCGCCCTCCACAACATGCTAGCCCATTTGTTTTGGGCTTTGCCCTTTATTTTTTATTTTTTATTTTTTATATTTACCCTCTGATGGGGTTTATACAGATGTCTCCGAAAGATAATAAAAATAATTTACATCATTTTGGTGGGGTGTTTATTCATCCCTTTTGTTTTTCTGCTTTGTTCCCCACTGCTTTTCTGCTTTTCTTGATTATGAGTTCCTCCGACTCGAGCACGTTCTCACCATTTTCGTTGTCGGTGGTGTTACCCTACTCATTCAAAACTTGACCAGACAACAAAATATGTGACTCAAACTCCCACAATGGGAAAACATCAGAAAGATCATAAAATGCTTGGAGTCGAACACATAATGATGACAACAGAAATGGAGTCCTGTCCATGGGTCAGACACGTAATGATGACAAAGTAAAATAAGAAAGAGAGATAATCTTATCTCAGTGACAAGTCCATCATTCTGTCATCTGCAAAGGTCAAGGTCTTATCCTTTTCAAATTCTTTTGCAGAGGTTGTTTTTCAGGGAGCATCTGCTCATGCTCCGGTATGTAAATAGTGATTGGCTTCACTCATTGAGAAAGTACATACGCAACCTTGTCCGCAACAAACTCATTGGATTCATCCAAAATAAGTCTTCTTTCGGAATGACCCAGAATGACCCAAGGAACTTCGAGATTGACTAGCATCTTAGCACTAACTTCATCAGTGAAGGCACCACCCTTCTTGACCCAACAGTTTTGTGCCGCGACATGGAAATCGGGCCTCAACAAACTTTTCGCTACTGGAATAAACACATACGGTGGGCTAATCATAAACTTCACAATGTCTTGCGATGGAACTTGTCCCTTGTTCAGTATGTTGACGATCTTTTTCACCTCATTGAAGGTTCCGTTGCATTTCCAGTTGCCGCCGACGAAGAACTTCCTGCCCATCTTTTCTTGATAATCTCAAAATCACACAGCGGATAATGTAATAATTGTGTTGTGAGCCTTCAGTTTTGCAGAATCACAGTGGCATCGTCTCTGCCACTCAGCACCTTTTAGAACATGATCTTCGGGTCTGACGGCGGAGTGGCCACAAATATCAAACTCTGCCGTGGATTTCACCGGTCTAAGCTCTGACGTCAAAAATCACGACTGTGAAGATAACAAACCCCATCGCCACTGTTAGCTCTTTCTTCGTCAACGCTTCTATGGCTCTGCTATATTTGCTTTGTCGGGTTCTCACTCTGAGACGGCTGGAGCTGTTAAGTCCGACGTCTTTCGTAAGGGCGAAGGAGAAGAGGCTCAGGGGTGAGCTGTTCCTGCAGAGCTTGAATGACCGAGTCAGTGAGCTCGAGTTGCGGTTCGATCGGCCGACGAATGAGACTTCGGAGAAGGTTGGGGTTCCGTAGGTTTCCAGGTCAGATCCTAAGGTGGGATTTGGGTTCTGACTGTTGTGAAGTTGCTGGGGTAATATTGGCGCTGCCGCAAGAATCGTGCTGCACGACTGGAACGAGGGCAGCAACAGCTGCCTCAACAGGCCGCTGATCATCAACTTAGCTTACCCCTAACTGTAGCCACCTTATGCAGAAAGTCATCAACTGAATCGAAACTTGGGAGCTTGCATAGAGATTCGAGACCTGCATCTGGGCCAAAACCCACCACACTTTTTCGCCCGACCTCTTTCTCTCTCTGTCTTCTGTCACGCATTTAGTGAGGTTTCCCATGACATAGAGGAAAGAGGGGAGTCATTTGATTGGTTGGGATGAGGTATCTTGTTAAAAGCGTTGAGATGTTTGTGCTCTAGGTTTGGGTTTCTACAGATCCACGGTGGTTGGAAAAAAAAAATGAAAGAGAACCGACATGATTTTTTGTGTCGATTCCCACAGACGGCGCCAAATGTTGATGCACAAAACCGGAGGTCTTGGAACAACGTAAATCCAATCGTGAATATGCAAGAAATGTAAATAACACAAGATGTATCGTGGTTCACCCCAAGGTTTGGGCTACGTCCACACTGATTATGTATTTATCTGAGAAGTGAGGGAGAGAGATTCAGAGCCTCTGAGGGAGAAAGTGAAGTCTCTGATGGTATAAGAATTGGCCTCTGAAATGGCTTCCCTTAATTGTGAGGGTGAAGGGTCTTTTTATAGAATAAAGACTCCTCACTTATTACATATTTGCCCCTTCTTTTATTACATAATTACATTTAAGTCCTCCGAGTATTTATACGAGGTCTAAATACGAGGCCCTAAATATGGTATAAACAAAAAATAATAATAAAAGAATTATTTGTTAAAAAAATCAATTTATATTATTGTAGACATCGAAATTTCGGTAAATAAATGTTGACCGATAAATCAAAGTGTCAACGCTCATGTATTGCATAAATTTTACACGTAGCATGTGACTCAACGAAAATTGAAATGAGTTGGAAAAGTCATCAAATAAGACACGTGTCAACACTTGGCAGAAACGACTTATTTCATCTGGGATATTATATTCAAAATTAGGCCTTGGAAAATTCTATAAATACAAGCCCATTTCATTCATTTGAGGGACCAATTCATATTACACCTTGAAGCTCTGAAGCTCTGAAACTCCGAAGCTCTCAAGCATCCAGGTTCCCGAAGAATCGAGAAAGCTCTCTTCGTTCTTCGTTCATCGTTCTTCCAAGATCAAGCCCAAACGGCCCTTTGGATCAACAATCATCCACCAATTCAAGATCAAGCCCCGACGGCCCTTGAAGAAAGTGTTCTTCGTTCTTCGTTCATCGTTCTTCCAAGATCAAGCCCAAACGCCCCTTTGGATCAACAATCATCCACCAATTCAAGATCAAGCCCCGACGGCCCTTGAAGAAAGTGTTATTCGTTCTTCGTTCATCGTTCTTTCAAGATCAAGCCCCGACGGCCCTTGAAGAAAGCCCATCGTTCATCATCCGTTCATCCAAGATCAAGCCCCAACGGCCCCTTTGGATTAACAACGTCGACAAATCCACACATCCAACCGTTTCTTCAAGATCAAGCCCAAAAGCCCTTAAAGATCCGTCCATCACTGTTCTTCAAGATCAAGCCCAAACGCCCTTGAAGATCTGCTCATTACCGTTATTCAAGATCAAGCCTCAAACGGCCCTTGAAGAAACATTCATCCTCAAGATCAAGCCCCAACGGCTCCTTGAAGATCCGCTCAAATCCACCTCCAAAGATCAAGCCCACGGCCCTTTGAAGAAACTTCCAACAGTTCATCCAAGATCAAGCCTTGACGGCCCTTGGATCAACGAAATATCCACCAATCAACACCTTACGGAGATCGAATCAGAGGATCAAAATAGAGAGAGATTGTAACCCAAAATCATCAAATACAAATATTTGTTTGTGCGCGTTGTTCTTGTCTCTTTCGTTTCAGGAATTTTCCGTGTTCACAAATTGGCACGCCCAGTGGGACTGTCTCTGCCTCTCATCTCTTTCTCCGTTCAAGAAATTCAAGCGCACTTCCAAAATTAATGGCATCAAGGAAGGCTCAATCTGTTCCCGCAACCGGCGCAAAGAACAAGAGCGTCCTCGTCGCAACTGGTGTCACTTTGGGCATCACGACTCGAAGCATGGCAAGAGCTACTTCTGCCGCCTCTTTCACCTCTGCATCAACTCTGCCAAGGGAACAAAAGCACCCAAGGCACGAGCCTTTGATCACCTTAGCCTCACTAAGGGCACCAAAGGGGGGAAGCCCAAGGAAATACTCCGAATCCATGCTCTCCGATGCCGATTCAAGCGGCAGTGCAGCCATGCAAGTCATGACCATTGGAGCAACTTCAATCGATGAGCAGCTGGCTCAGATGAATGAAGCAATCGCAAGGCTAACCCGAACTGTGGAAGAAAAAGACTTGCAAATTGCAGCACTCGTCAATCGACTAGAGGCGCAGGACGGCGATAAACCCGACCCAGAGAATGATCTACTAAAGAGAAGAGATGATGAAGAAGAAGAGCCTCAGGTGGAGAAAAACGATGCGAAGCCGGAGCCAGACCAAGCAGTGGCACTCATGGCATCTCTTTCTATCCAGCAGCTGCAGGAGATGATCACCAATACCATCAAGGCACAGTACGAAGGGAGCTCACATACCTCCTTGTTCTACTCGAAGCCCTATTCCAAGAAGATTGATGCCCTAAAGATGCCGAGGGGATATCAACCACCAAAGTTCATGCAGTTTGATGGAAAAGGAAACCCAAAGCAGCACATTGCACATTTCGTCGAAACTTGCAACAATGCGGGGACGGAGGGAGACTACCTCGCCAAGCAGTTTGTGCGCTCGCTGAAAGGAAACGCCTTTGAGTGGTACACGGACCTAGAGCCTGAGTCCATCAACAGCTGGGAACAGTTGGAAAGGGAATTCCTCAACCGCTTCTACAGCACCCGCCGCACTGTGAGCATGCTAGAACTAACGAGCACAAAGCAGTGGAAGGACGAGCCAGTCATTGACTACATCAACAGATGGCGCACTCTAAGCCTCGACTGTAAAGACAGGCTCTCAGAAACCTCTTCAATCGAGATGTGCATCCAAGGCATGCAATGGGGTTTGCAATACATCCTTCAAGGCATTAAACCACGGACCTTCGAGGAATTGGCCACTCGCGCCCATGACATGGAGTTGAGCATCGCCCATCATGGGAAGAAAGAACCGATCGCCGACTACAAGAACGACAAAGTTCTTGGGACAAAGGTGGAAAAGGCTGCATGGAAACCCACCAAGGAAGCGATGACGGTCAACACATCTCCCGTCAAAATATCCACACGAGGCAAGGCGATTCAAACCGAAGCTTTTCGTGATCAAGAGACACGTAGACGCACTTTGAAGGAGCTTGAGGAGAAGACTTATCCATTCCCCGACTCTGATGTGGTTGCCATGCTAGATGACCTGTTGGACAAGAAGGTGATCAGTTTGCCTGAGTGCAGACGGCCGGAAGAGATGAATCGTACCGACAGTCCAAGATACTGTAAATTCCACCGCTTCATCAGTCATCCGACAGAAAAATGTTTCGTGCTGAAAGATCTCATCATAAAGCTGGCTCAGAAAGGAATCATCGAGCTAGATCTTGACGAAGTGGCGAAGTCAAACTATACCACCTTCACTTCTGGCCCTTCCGACTCAAAGTTTTCACCTCAACCGCTGGGGGCATCCTCCAAGACAAGCAAAGTTGAAGGATTGACTCAAGTCACTCCTAAGAAATTGCACAGAAACATACGTCTCCTCCACAAGTCCGCCAATCAGAAAGGGGGCAAAGCAGCTCTTGTCAATCTTCAAAGCAACGTGAACGTGTTGAAGATGATGAAATTGCAACACATAGATCATCCATCCCCATCACGATGCGTGATTTCTTTCCTGAAGACTTCTTCAATCACTCGGTCAAGACTCCTTGCTATGAAAATTGCGAGGAACAACTATCCCGGATCGTTTGACAAATTCACAGTGCTCCTTGTTCGCACGAGCCTAAACTGCATGAACCAAAGCTCCTTGTCCGCACGAGCCTAAACTGTAGGACACGAAGCTCCTCGCCTGCATGAGCCTAAACTGCATGGCACAACGCTCATGGTCTGCACGAGCATAAAAGGCAACACCAAAGCTCCTGGTCTGCACGAGCATAAAAGGCAACACCAACGCTCCTTGCCTGCATGAGCTAAAACTGCAACACGGCACCAAATGCTCATTGTCTGCATGAGTTGAAACTGCAAACGACACCAACACTCCTTGCCTGCATGAGCTGAAACTGCAAACGGCACAAAAAAAAAAAATCCAAAAAAATATGTATTTGAACTACGTTACGACTTGATCTCTTCTTTGGAGGGGTACGTAGGCAGCTTGAATATTCAAAATTTCGAGTTCAGTCACATCAAAAAAAAAAAAATGTTTTATTAAATAAAGTCAATTTTATTTTAAAAAAAAAAGAAAAAAAATGAATACATATGTTATTATGTTTTTACAAATGCAAAAAAAAAAAAAAAAAAAAAAAAAAAAAAAGATACATGTTTTATGTATTTACAAAAAAAAAGAGAAAAAAAAATAAAATACATATGTTTTATGTATTAATAAAAAATAAAAAAATAAAAAAATGTATACATATTAATGTGGGTCTTCCTACACTTAAGACCCGTGCCAAATCAAATAAACACAAGTTGAAGTCCACAGAAAAGAGCAGCCAGAATGACAGGCCCATCCTCACTTGTGTCTCGGCCCAGCAGCAGAAAGCTCAATTCACAGGCCCAGTCCCACCACCTGCAGAAGACGGATCAGGTTGAGTCCAGAGACACAGAGACAGCGCAGAGCAACCGCAGCTGCGGATAAACCAATCAGAAAACCCGAGTCAGAGTTCCAGAGCCGACTCAGTTGAGTGAGAGAATGAGAGATGCTTCTAGTGCAGAAGCAGCGTCAGCAGCAAGATAACGATGCAAGGACTCCATCACCAACAGCAGCAACTCGCGGCGTTTCTCTCTGTCGCCATCCCCAAGGACGATTCCGCCTCCGCCTCCGCCTCCGTCCCATCCTCTAACTCCGACGACGATGACTCCGCTCGGCTCACCGCCATCAATTCGCTCCACCGCGTCGTCACCAAGCTCGCCCTCAAATGCGACCGCAGATCCGTCAGCGTCGGCGACGAGGCGCTCGTCCTCATTTCTGCGATGCCGTAACCTCACGCGCCTGAAGATCCGCGCATGCCGTGAGTTGACCGATGCTGGGATGACGTCGCTCGCCAAAAACTGCAAAAGGTTGAAGAAGTCCCAAGCAGAACTATGGTGAAAAAGTTATTGTACAGTTCGAAGATTTTGCAAACCACAATGCTTTCGAGCTGCTGGCCAAATATAGAGCATCTCATCTCGTCTTCAATGATGACATACAGGGGACGGCATCTGTAGTTCTTGCAGGAGTTGTGGCAGCACTGAAGTTAATCGGTGGTTCCCTGTCTGAGCATAGGTTTTTGTTCCTTGGTGCTGGAGAAGCTGGTACCGGTATAGCAGAACTAATAGCTCTTGAGATCTCGAAAAGGACAAAAGTTCATGTGGGAGAAACCCGTAAGAAGATCTGGCTTGTTGATTCAAAAGGATTGATTGTTATCTCTCGTAAAGATTCTCTTCAACATTTTACGCAGCCTTGGGCTCATGAGCATGAGCCTGTTGATAATCTTTTGGATGCGGTCAAGGCAATTAAACCAACAGTTCTTATTGGATCATCTGGTGTTGGAAGAACATTTACAAAGGAGGTGATTGAAGCAGTATCGTCCTTCAATGAGAAACCTCTCATTTTGGCTCTTTCCAACCCAACATCACAATCTGAATGTACCGCTGAAGAAGCTTATACTTACAGTGTGGGTCGCGCAATTTTTGCCAGCGGAAGCCCATTTGATCCTGTTGAGTACAAGGACAAAGTTTTTGTTCCTGGCCAGTCCAACAATGCATACATTTTTCCTGGATTTGGTCTGGGTTTGGTTATCTCTGGAGCAATCCGTGTTCACGATGACATGCTTCTGGCAGCCTCGGAAGCCTTGGCGGGGCAAGTTTTCGAGGAGAATTTTGCACAGGGGCTGATCTATCCACCATTGTCGAACATCAGAAAGATTTCTGCCCAAGTAGCTGCTAATGTAGCTGCCAAGGCATATGACCTTGGCGTGGCTACGCGTCTCCCTCGTCCTGAGAATCTTGTGAAGCATGCCGAGAGTTGCATGTACAGTCCCGTCTACAGAAACTACCGCTAAACAGCATCTTCACCATCTACTTCAACATCTACTTCAAGTCCCCTCATTGTCCACAGCATGGATCCCGTCAACACCTCCCCCGATCTTCACAACAGAGAAGAGAGGTTGGATCCCAAATCCAATCCGAAAAGGAACTCTTTTTTCGGAAAAGGGAAGAGAGAGAGAGAGAAAGAGCTATGGCAGTGGTTGAGAATGAAGGGGTGGAGCTTGGGAAGAGCGTGGGGTCGAACTCGGCGAATCGGAACCCGGAGACTTCGACGACGCCCCAGAACGGTGGTGCTTTTACCGCACCCAACGATCAGGATCAACGACTAACAGTTGCCGCTTTCTGAACGAGCAGATCTATCAGCTGGAAGCTCAGGAGGCTCAGTCTCTGATGCCAAACCAAATGCCTCTTCCTCTGGAGCGTCAACTGCCAAGGTATCGACTGACAAGTACCGGAATTCTGCTGTTGTAGCTGGTGTTATCACTGCTGCTGCTTCTCTCGGTTGGTCTCCCACAGCTAGTCGAAAGAAGGAAGAAGTGCAAGACTGAGGTTGTGACTTGGGTTGGTGCTGCAGGATCCATGCTTTCCATCTTCAAGTTCAGTCACTGGACTTGAAGGTTGTAACTTAGATTGGTGTCTCTGACTCGGCTTGAAGTTGTGACTTGGGTTGGTGCTGCAGGATCCATGCTTTCCATCTCTTCATGACTCGGTCATTGGACTCGCAAATGATCCTGAAGCTTTTGCCGAACTAAGAGAGCGAAGATTGGCGCTGTTGACGGTGGCGAAGAAGCTTCGGAAGCGCTGTCAATCTGTCTCTCCCCTTGCAGTGGTGATGCAGCAGCAGTGCGGGGAAGACAGTGGGGGTGCAGTAAAGGTACAGTGGTGCAGCAGCAAGCGAGATAGGGCAGTGCGGTTTTGTGCAATGCTTTGTGCAGTGAGGACGACAAGGCTGTGCAGCAAGGAAACAGCGCAGTGAAGATGCAAAACAGTGTGCGGTGCAGAAGCAATGGGGATGGTGCAGTGGAGATGCAGTGGACAGTGCAATGGCAAAGGCTATGCTGCGACGGTGCGACGGCGATGCTGTGCAGCAAGGAAACAGTGCAAGGACGACAAGGCAGTGCAGCAAGTTCAACAGGCAGTATAGATGGTAGTGCAGTGAAGATGCTGGCAGTGCGATGGGTGTACGGTGGCTGTGCTCTGTGGTTGGGCTCAGTGGCTGTGCTCTGGATTCTAGCTGGATCCGACATCAAGGTCACCTTCGTGCTCTCCATGCGCCTTCATCCTTCCCTGCAAATTCCTCAGCCCATCATCGAAATTTATAAAAAAAATAATAATAATAGAAAATGGGATGGTGGATCAAAGATGGGGAACAGCCCCATGACAGATCGAAAGTTTCTGGTGGTGCATGGGCACCATGTGCAGAAAGGAAAAAAAAATAATAATAATAAAAAAAATAAAAAGTTTGATCTTTGGTGCGTCTGGCACCATGATTAAAGAAAAAATTGTTTGATATTTGGTGCTCTGGCACCATGTGCAAAAAAATAAAACAGGGGAAAAGAAAGGAAAATATAAAAAAAAATGGATGGTGCATCTGGCACCATGTGCAAAAAAAAAAAAAGCATTAAGAAAAATAAAAGTCCATTTTATTTATTTTTTCTGGAAATTTTACATAAAATTGCATTCTTCTACATACCAACAAAAAAAAATAAAATAAAATAAAAAAAAAAAAAAAATCAAATCAAATCAAATTTACAAGAGGGGATATTCAAGGACGATCAGGTGGCGCCTCACAACTCGGCAGAGCTCCAGGAAGAGAAGGCGCCGGAGGTTGACTGTTTGAAGCCTCAGCAGTCGGTACAGCCCCAGAAGACGAAGGTAAATGCTGCTGGAACAAACCCACAAACCTCTGATGATCAAGTAAAATCTGACCATCAGATTCCTGCATCTGGTCAATCTTCCTCTTCATGTTTGTCGCATAGCTATGTGCGAGCTTATGCAACTGTTTATTCTCCTGCTTGAGCCCTCTAATCTCCTGTTTGAGACTCATCACTTCAGCCGCCAACGATTCAACTTGACGGGTTCGAGCAAATAGGCGTTGGGCCATGTTGGACACAGAACCCGCACACTGCACACTAAGGGCCAGAGACTCCTTAACAGCCAACTCATCAGACCGCCTGGAAAGTAGTCTGTTATCTTTGGGAGTGACAAGGTTCCGGGCCACCACCGCAGCGGTCATATCATTCTTCATCACCGAATCCCCAACGGTAAGAGGACCAGTGGGGGATATGAAGGTTGGGCGCCATATGTTGTCTGGAGAAGGCGGGACTGCCTCTTCACCAAGATTCAAGTCAAAACGACGGTCAGATGGTCCAGACATTTTCAAAGTGTTGAAGGAAGAAGAGATCGGACAAATCAAGATCTTAGAAGTACAAGAGGGGAGTTTTCACAAGCGAAAATTCAAGTGTGCTTTGAAACAAACTGCATGCCTCTATAAAAAATCAGCACTCGACGGGATTTCAGAGATCGAAGAGGCGAGCTCAAAATTCGAAGAGGCCATTCAAAAATCGAAGAGGCAAGCTCAGAAATCGGAGAAGCATCTTGCTTTTCCAGACGCGTCGGCACCCGTCACACGCAAACTCAGCTTTGCGAAAATCACGGGCAATTTGTCGAAGCGCCGATCCCAGATATCGAAGAGGCGCCAGTCTTTTTCAGCCACGTCAGCACCCATCACACGCAAACTCAGCTTTGCGGAAATCACGGGTAATTTGTCGAAGCGCCGATCCCAGTTATCGAAGAGGCGCTAGTCTTTTTCGGCCGCGTCATCACCTGTCATATGCACACTCAACTTTGCGCAAATCACGGGCAATTTGTCGAAGATTTTCGGTGAAGGAGAAAGCACGTGAAAGTTTACTGTTCAATCACGCGTTAGTTGCCGACACAAGTGAAAGAATACTACCTCTACAGGTATTAAGAGACCTCCTATAACTGTCCACCTTCACCTTCCATAGCAAGGCAGACACACAGAGCTTTTCTTCATCTCCAAAAATGCTTTCCCAACAAAGCCTCTCGAGTCATTCAATGTTCTTTATTCCTTGGGGTACCTCTGCAAGCCAATGACTCCAAAGCAAAAGTATCTCATATCACCAGGGTAGAAAGCAAGAGTATCTCATATCATGCGTTCTCCCTGTCCTTTCCTTTGTCCTTGTTTTTACCTACAAAGACAAGGATAAAGAAAACAATATGCCGGAACTTCCACTCAAACTCGGGTAAGGAACCGACTGCTTGGAACCCTTCCCTGATTGCCTACCTAGCACTGCTCTCGAGTACTCGTCTCCCACTGCTGCTGTACTTCCAAAGAAGCTACCACATCTGCCTGAAGAATAGATAAGGCAAGTGAAAATGATACCTTGCAGCATGTGGAGACAACGTGCTGAAGAAACAAGCAGAGAAGAATGCAGCATGCACAGTTAACTCAGCAGAAAGAGTCTGAGATGAAGAACTCGAGAAGATGCCGCATTTGCCTGAGGACGGTGAACTCGTTTTGACCCTCAAATTCTTGGGTCGACTTACTAGGCGTTGTGGGCTGCACGTGCCGATTCACCACCCTTGAATCGAATCCTTAAAGATCAAGTCACCAACTGGAAGAAAAGCCCATCAATCTTGAAGATCATACCGTTGACCAAACTGCTCAGGTGTGAATTAGAAAGATTGAACAGAGCAACAAGTCGTCACCTTCACCTCGTGCCTGCTTGCTTGTCATGTGTTCAAGTCAACCTTCAAGGATCAAGCCCCAAAAAGCCATTGAAGAAGCTTCCAGCCAAATTCGAAATCAAGCCTCGACGGCCCTGGAAAGAAATCACAAGTCCGATTCAAGATTAAGTGTCTACCACCCTTGAATCAAAACCTAGTTCAAGAATAAGCTGTGGAAAATCAACAATTGGAGGAATCTAGAAAATCCTTCAACCCAGTTCAAGATCAAAGCTGTGGAAAGTCAACAAATCGCAACAAAATACGTGTCGATTCACCCACTACCAAAGCCAAAGATCATCTACCACATGAAGCTCCTTGTGGTCCAATTTCAACCTTCAAGATCAAGCCTCGACGGCCTTGAAGAAATTTCAAACAACAATTCAAGATCAAGCCTCGACGGCCCTTGAAGAAATTTCAAACAACAATTCAAGATCAAGCCTCAACGGCCCTTGAAGAAATCTCAAGCCCAATTCAAGATCAAGCCTCAACGGCCCTTGAAGAAATCTCCAGCCCAATTCAAGATCAAGCCTCGACGGCCCTTGGATCGACATCTACAGTAAGGGACTTCAAAACGCATCTCCTACACGTGACAAGCACATGTATACGACGTGCCTTGAAGTGGGGGCATTTGTAGACATCGAAATTTCGGTAAATAAATGTTGACCGATAAATCAAAGTGTCAACGCTCATGTATTGCATAAATTTTACACGTAGCATGTGACTCAACGAAAATTGAAATGAGTTGGAAAAGTCATCAAATAAGACACGTGTCAACACCTGGCAGAAACGACTTATTTCATCTGGGATATTATATTCAAAATTAGGCCTTGGAAAATTCTATAAATACAAGCCCATTTCATTCATTTGAGGGACCAATTCATATTACACCTTGAAGCTCTGAAGCTCTGAAACTCCGAAGCTCTCAAGCATCCAGGTTCCCGAAGAATCGAGAAAGCTCTCTTCGTTCTTCGTTCATCGTTCTTCCAAGATCAAGCCCAAACGGCCCTTTGGATCAACAATCATCCACCAATTCAAGATCAAGCCCCGACGGCCCTTGAAGAAAGTGTTCTTCGTTCTTCGTTCATCGTTCTTCCAAGATCAAGCCCAAACGCCCCTTTGGATCAACAATCATCCACCAATTCAAGATCAAGCCCCGACGGCCCTTGAAGAAAGTGTTATTCGTTCTTCGTTCATCGTTCTTTCAAGATCAAGCCCCGACGGCCCTTGAAGAAAGCCCCATCGTTCATCATCCGTTCATCCAAGATCAAGCCCCAACGGCCCCTTTGGATTAACAA